CATGTAGCGCTTGTAACCGTACAGATTGCGTCATGTAGTGCTTTTAACTGTACAGAATGCGTCATGTAGCGCTTTTAACCGTACAGATTGCGTCATGTAGCACTTTTAACCGTACAGATTGAGTCATGTAGCAATTTTAACCGTACAGATTGCATCATGTAGCACTTTTAACCGTACAGATTGTGTCATGTAGCGCTTGTAACCATACAGATTGCTCCATGTAGCGCTTGTAACCGTACAGATTGCGTCATGTAGCGCTTTTAACCGTACAGATTGCGTCATGTAGCGCTTTTAACCGTACAGATTGCGTCATGTAGCGCTTTTAACCGTACAGATTGCGTCATGTAGCGCTTTTAACCGTACAGATTTTATCATGTAGCGCTTGTAACCGTACAGATTGCGTCATGTAGCGCTTTTAACCGTACAGATTGCGCCATGTAGCACTTTTAACCGTTCAGATTGCGATGTAGCGTAATGTAGCGCTTTTAACCGTACAAATTGCGCCATGTAGCACTTTTAACCGTACAAATTGCGCCATGTAGCGCTTTTTACCGTACAGATTGCGCCATGTAGCGCTTTTAACTGTACAGATTGCGTCATGTAGCGTAATGTAGAGCTTTTAACCGTAAAATTTGCGCCATGTAGTGCTTTTAACCGTACAAATTGCGCCATGTAGCGCTTTTAACCGTACAGATTGCTTCATGTAGTGCTTTTAACCATACAGATTGCTCCATGTAGCGCTTGTAACCGTACAGATTGCTCCATGTAGCGCTTGTAACCATACAGATTGCGTCATGTAGTGCTTTTAACTGTACAGATTGCATCATGTAGCGCTTTTAACCGTACAGATTGCGCCATGTAGCGCTTTTAATCGTTCAGATTGCGTCATGTAGCGTCATGTAACGCTTTTAACCGTACAGATTGCGTCATGTAGCGCTTTTAACCGTACAGATTGCACTGTCTCTCGCAGTTATATCGTTGGGTAATTATACTGTATATAAAATGCGGGTATCAGGGAGCCACTATTGATATGCGGGGCTTTGAAACTGCTTACGAATGCACGATCGTTTTACTTTCGAGATTTGCGATCGCACGTGCTCTGTGTAAACTACAGCGGCAGTACTTACCACACATTTTACAAGATCAGATGCTTGTCAGTGGTGCTCAGGATCTGTAAATCATTTGCCTTTATCCTCAGTCATCTCTCCTTACTCTGTTTATGTGGTAAGTGAAATCTTATGTCCTGTGATGTAACAGGCTACTGCTAGAAAGCAGCTAACCATGTCCCTTTAGTGGCTCGCGTTATTTTACTAGAACGTGCATTATTTGTTTTCCGTGCCTTTCTGAATACAGACACCGACCCATCCCTGCACAGCCTGGAACATTACATTTGTTTCCGTGATCTGCCATTTTCGCTATTATCCTCGCTTGTTTCTTCACAACACCTGCAGAACTTTTGATGATTCGGCTGGCGGCTGGCGTAGAACATAGGTGGGTATATGCAAATGTTGGGGGCGTAACTATTAGTGACTGTAACGTCACAGCCTATTTTTCAGTGGTCTTTTGCATTCTCGAGATTTACATAAGGAGGAGGAAACAATGGTGTTTGAGGCTCACGGTATGTCATTTCCATGTACAGAACTGTTATTATTCAACTATGCCAAGTAAATGCAGTTTTCCATTCTATGGCACCTTTAAGGCCGGTAAACAAACTTTATTAATTTGAAGCAAACCACAAAACAAAACAACACACATCAGCATCACTACAAATCATCACTATAACCTAATTATCAGCATAGATGGGGTTAAACTGTTCTTGTTAAATACACTGTGTCTGTGTGTGTGTGTGTGTGTGTGTGTGTGTGTGAGAGCGTCACATGACCATCCCTCCGCCCATGATCTCCAGTCTCTGTAGAAGACAAACACAAACGAGTGAGAGGAATGTGAAAGCACACACAAACACGAGCTCATTAATTATTCACGCACCTGAGGCGGCTCTATGAACGCCAGCCAATCAGATGAGTGCGTCGGGAGGAGCCCCATTGATTGACACTTGTAGATGGCCAGTGCAGATCCCAGCAGATTCCCGATCAGATACACCAGACCCTGCAGCCACTGCTGACTGGAGCTCTCCAACAGCTTAAACGCTTCACACACACACACACACACGAGAGCCTGTCGTTTATGATGAGTGTGTGTGTGTCTGTGTCTGTGTGTGTGTGTGTGTGTGTGTGTGAGAGAGAGAGAGAGAGGGAGAGGGAG